ACTTGTAATCTAATACTGTATAGTGGGTAGATCTTAAGAATTGGGCAACAATCTCAGTGATAAATCACAGTTGTGATAAAACTTTTTAGAAGCAAATCTATTTCACTACTATTAAGAGATAATTTTGTAAGTGTTCCTTGAGAGACCAGTTGGGTCAGATTTCTCAAGAGGGCTAAGACTAGTTTGAGTCTTAGAGGTGTTAGTTACTTGCAGTTGACTTGTGCATTGTATTGTTAGTCACACCAGTTTGGTTATGTATTTGTAATCCGTTTGATTATAATGGATTAAGTCCTCGTTAAGAGAGGCGAAATCACCTTGGCGGGTGGACTGGAGTAGTTTGAGTTTCAAACGAACCAGGATAAAAATACCAGTGTCCTTCCATTAGTATTGCGCAAGAAAAAGGAAAAACTTATTCAATCCCCCCCCCCCCCCCCCCCCCTTCTAAGTGTTTTCTCATCCTTCATATTGGGCCACTTCTGGTCATTGGGTAAGTCCAGAACAATAATTATCTATCCATAGAGACCAATGGTTTTAAAGAAATGGTAGCAGTGGTTTTTCATCTTAAGTAAGAAAAAAGTTTGTGTTTATTGTGATCTGGAAATATAAATAATAGAAAGTAAAGTAGGAGATGCCGATCTTAACACTGAGAATGCTTGTTGGGGTTAGATTGCATCATTACATGTCTATCATGCACATCCATAGGTCAATAATATGCTCATATACTCAACATATAATACTACCACTTGTTACCCTAATTTGCATCTCCTTTCCGTCTCCAACTGTGAGATCAATGTATTATCTAATTGAATGGTATACGTTACTATTAACCAACATGGAGCATTTAGTCCCAATATATGAAAAGGACCGAGACTCCACATTGATCATGCTATAATGTGTGTGGATATTGAGCCTATACTTATATCTAGACTTAATATTCAATAAATAATTATTTTGGATCTAGTAATGACAATCACCTCTATGTCATGTTTGACCATCAAAACATGTTTTAGGCTGCAAAGCTAAAATAAGCATTAAGATTAAAGAGTTTTTAATATTTCAATATAAGTATATTTATATAGAACACCTTGACATATTTATTACATGAATACAATTAATACATCTAACTCCAACACTAGATGTTTTAGATATTCTTACACATGTTTAGCATAATAGCTAACCTTTCTAGAGCCGTTGACTTCGGAAATAGGATATGCCCTATCACTTAAGCATCATTTCCGCCTTCAGACTTCCTTTCTTATCCTGATGTTGTATACCAGAGAGAACATACTCCAATTATGTACTCCTCTGATCCACCGAAACTCCCTTTGCACTGAACTTGAAACTTTTATTTATAGGAAAAAAATTTAGTATCGTGTTGGACACAACATCCTCTCGCTCAGCACGCTTACCCTAGTTTGAGACCATAACCAACCAGCTTTTCTTTTCAGCAAGCAATGCTTGCATGTCTTCCAGGTGTCCTTGACCACCTTTTCTCACCCAATTCACCATCCATTCGACCAACACATTAATCCTTACTTCCCCATGAAGTACTTGTACCAGGTGTTGCCACCTAGTCATACACTTCGTCTAACGTGCCTGTAGATGAGGCCTAGTGAGCCTTGATTCTTAAGGGTTTTTATTTTGCCTATTTTCTTCATGATGATTCATGGTTTTCAAATTCTTTTCCCCCATTTTGATAAATGCATACAAGAAAAGTCCAAACAAACGTTTCTTTACTTTTCATAGATAAATCAGAGGTTTTTTGTGATGATTACTTGTAAAATAAATAGATAAGTGGCGATGTATTTAACATAAATTTGGCACTTATCAATGTCGTCGATGACTTGGATATTTTTGGACCTTTTTCTTGGTCTCTTTTCAGCTCGGGAGCAAGGGTTTTGTGTGAGGCTTCCTCTTACACTACATTGTTCCTCAAATTGAGGTTTTATAAACTTTCTTCAATCTAAGTTAGCATTTGTTCCAAGGTCTGAGAGTTTTATTTTTGAGCTATCTGGTACTGTTTATCTCTGGTTTCGGTAAACAACACTGGTCTCTTAATAAAAGTTTACTGGAGAGATCAATCAGGGAATCTTAGTACAGTGTTTCAGTTTTCGAGTGTTTTCACAAAGTGTGTTCAAAAGGATTCGATCGAATTGTGCCAAACAAGTTGATAAGCAATACAGAAAAACTCATAATATAAGTTAATTCAAACATACATTGTCTTAGCTTGACTCATTTCGCTCGTTTGTTTGGGTACTCTGAGTGACTAGCATATAGGAATGTGAAAGTTTGAACACCTAACACTATGCACTAAGTGTTTTATTTATAATACACAGAAATAACTACTTTCTAGCGAACTTCGTTTCTTTGTATGCCACGTATATCTTGTAACTTCTCTCCATGATCCCACGTTCTCCATTCGTACTCTTGAACCCACGTTCTCCATGTTTCCCTCCAAAACACTTCGCTTGCTTGATGGATCTTTTGGACGTTTTTACATTTCTGAGCCTAATGACTTATAAGGTCTTTCCTGGACGACTGATTCTATTTTCAGGCCCAATCATTTACTTGTAGAATCTCTTTAGGTCGACTGCATCAATAGTCGAATACTTGTTGAATCTCCTTGGGTCTAGGTCGACCGCATCAGTAGTCGAATCGCATAAATCATCTTTTCCAAATAACCTTTTTTATTCTTTTCTTTTGGTTGGATTTTGGTCCTTGTCGAAAATCCCAACCAACAGGTGCATGTTGTTCAATAGTTCACTGGCTCCTTATAAGCCAAGGTTAGCTTCTAAGAGTTGAATTCGGGGAACACTTCTCGATCAGGAATTGTAGGTGGCAGGGGAGGTCTGAACGAAGATTTTCCTAGATGGAAGTGTAGATCTGAGGAACAAATGGGTTGGGAATACTCATTGGTCTGACCTAGGTTGGACAACACTTTGTGATAGAGGAACGAATGGAACAGATGTTACGACTTGGTCGTCCATCCTTGTAGGAAGATTCATAAGGTTTATATCAACTTTAGCAATTTATCGTTGAATGAGGAGCAAATAGCTTTCGAGGCTTCCATCAGTTGTACGAATCCGAATTTGGAAAAATTAATTTACATATAGAAATCTTTGCTTCGATTGAAGGATATCTGAATTCCTAGTGAAGGCAATTTAGTTGAATCGAGAAATTTTAAATCGTGAAAAATCGCAAGAATCAAGAGTCGGTTTCAATATATTGCGACAATGTTTTCTCTCGAACTAGATGATGATCGGAGAGGATGAACCCACAGTTTGCTACAGTGGTTTAATGCTCCTGATGCAGTGGATATATGACTGACATACAAAGTTAGCACTCTGACTCTCAATTCAGTAAGATAGTGAGAAATGAAGTTTGAATGGACAATGACTTAAATGCCCGAGAAATGACACGATCCTTTCTTTAAATAGGAGAGTAAGTTAGCAACCATTTGTGTGTGAGGGAGCTTGAGATGTGGTAAGGCGTTAGATCGATCTGAATGCCTATGATTAAATTCGCATGAGAATTCTTTAGCTTGATGGATAAAAGGAAGTCTTCTATTCAGCACCGAACACAGACATCTCCCACTATTAAATTTGAGAATTTCTTAATACACCTTTATAGGGATGGAGTAAACCTCTGAAAATCCCAAAATATATTTCGGAGATGTATATCCGAACACACCTAATATTTTATTTTTAGAGGATTTTCGTATATGCATATATGAAATAACACAATATTTCGTCTTTATGGAATTTTCGGATATGAATATCCGAACTAATGAGTGTTAAAAATCAATTAGAATCAGGTGTATCAATTGTATTACCTTATTATATATAATTTATATGAATATAAATATACTCTAACGTGATCTCATTAAACACATTATAATACAAAAAATATATTTCAATAAAATAGAAATTAAGAATGAATATTGTCAATACTATTTTTTTAAACCCTCTAAAGACGAAATATTGTGTTATTTCAAATACGTATATATGAAAACCTCTTGAAAATGAAATATTGAGTGCATTCAGATATCATTTGATGATATTACAAAAATTTCACGAAAGACTCCTAAGAATCTCTAAGTGTGTATTAAAAAATTCCCTGCTATTTGGCCTTATATGCGGCAGATAACATAATGCAATCATGTTATTAAGGAGTGTAACTTGAAAAAAAACATGAACTCATGAATCATAGGTATAGATTCATGTAAAAAAAAACCTTGCAAGCAAGTCGGCAACTACAGGACAATAACACTGCATATTATAGGGGAAAAGTATTTCTGTATTAAAGATCACAAGGGGACTAACTATTATCAAGTCGTCCCAGAATTTGTCAGCGATATCGGTCAAGAATGTCCTTTGTGCTGACCGTTTTTTGTTTGTGACCCTGAAAATAATCTAGCATATTAAAATGAGGCCATGCATATAAACATTTCGTTAAACATACTACCATGATGTTTTATCTTGGTAATGGTGATTATTTTAGTAAAAGTTACACTTATGCATAGAGTACTAATCTTTGAAATTACGCCTATTATTTAACATCTAAAAGCCAACTTTAAGCATAGAGTTATAATACACCTCACATGCTTGAGTCACCCTTTTGGTATACAAACAAACGTAGGTGCACTCTTTTCTCACTAAGCATGGCCAACATGACCCACACACACTATTTGGAAGATCTAGATCTCATGCAGATATAAAAAAACATACATTCACCAATCTCAGCCATTGATTTGAGATCAAATATTCACTAAATTATCATTAGACCATCTTTACCATTCATTTCATATATGGAAGTGTCCAAATCAATATTTATTGTGACTTATTTTCAACATGGTCTAGCTAGCCTTAACCCCACTACCTCATATCCTCACTCAAAAGCTGGCATTATTAGACAAACGCATCTACACTGAAAGTGATTGAAGTGGAATCCAATGAATATACAGCTTGTTAGTAAAAGAAAAAAAAATATAGATAGATTATTTAGAAGATAAGAAGAGGACACAAAATTGAGATCTGAGCACTTTTTTTGGAGTGGAAATGAAGTTCTTGTTTCAGTGTCCTTGTTGTTCTTGCTTTTGCTTCATGAAGCCGAAAGCTGGAAAGGCAAAGGTGAAAGAAGTGAGCAAGGAAGCTAAAGCAACAAAGGAAGTGAAAGAAGTGAAAGAAGCTAAGAAGGAAGAAAAGATTGAAGAAAAGAAAGAGTGACATGTAATGTAATGTAACTCCATTGCAAACTTTCTTCGGTTGTTTTAATTTTAGTAATTATTTTGCTATGTTTGGTTCTTATCAACAATTATTATCATTAACCATGCACAGCAATATGTGCAATATGCTTTGTGCTTCTTTGGTTGTTAAACATTGATTCACATGCTTTTTTATTATGAGTATGAAAATAATTCGGAATTGTCAACGGAACCATACCATGACCTACTAATTCGGAATTGTTTATGTTAAGGTTTCGATGGTGATGACAGCAGGTTGTGTTTGGTTATGTCTTAGAGGTTAATATTGAGTTAGGTACAAAGTGTAGGTTGTGGAAATTAGTGAATGAGTTTGTTTATTTTGAATAATGAAAGAAATTGGTATGGAGTTTAGAATGGTGATGAGGTGAGGTTGAAAGTTGCAGGTTTTAATTCACAGTGAAAACATGAAAAAAATTAATGGTTAGTAATTGTTAGTATAATGTGTTGATTGTTGGTAATTGTTAGTTGAATGTCTTTAATAGTTTGTCAATTCAAATTTTGGTTTTGAAATAATATAACTGGATAATAATGGTCTCTCAATTTAGAGAAGAGAATGGAAGAAAGATTAGGATTTTAAAATTGAAGAAATGATTAAATGATTTTGAAGTATTTGCAATAAGAAATGATTAAATGATTTTGAAGTATTTGCAATAAGAAATGATGGTGTAGTTGAATAAATTTTGAAATTTTTTCATATGAATTTTAAAGAATATTGACATGTCATTAATTAAATAAAAAAAAATTCATTTGAACTCATGTAGGAAGATTTCCTTACACAATCAGTGTAATAGTAACAATAAATATTTGGAGATGAAATTTGAATTTTGTAAAGGGATCATAGTCAATGTATATTTAACCCTTTTTTATTTGAGGTCAGTAGTGATATCAATTAAACTCTTTCATTATTCTGAACTGAAAAAAATTACAAAACAATTTAGTTGTAATAACAAAAATAATTTTTAATTTACTATAAAATTTAAAATATTATTAAGCCTGATTATGTTGGTTAATATTTCTTTTATTGATAATTATTGTGAAGCCTTCTTATTGACATTTATTTGTATTATTAATCTCATTGATTACAAATTTAATTGCACTTTTCAATTGAGTCATGAAATTTGTTTGTGCGTGAGAAATTTTTAGTGAGTAGAAAAATATAGAGAGTAAGGAAATAAAGATTAATATTATTGAATGAATAAAAACTGATTTGCAATATGTCAATTTATATACAACTAACGTGTATAGTAAATAACAAACAAACCCTAATTAACTTGCATTGGGCTTCGATTACTTAATTTGAATTATATCACAACATACCCCCATATAATTCATGTCGAACATACGTTAATCTTACACGATCTGAACTATTCCTAATTTCTTCTTCAAATTTAGGAATTTGTCGATCTTCAATCCTTTTGTGAAAATGTCGGTCAACTGTGCTTCACTTGAGCAATGTCTTATTTCAAGTTCACCTCAATTTACCTTATCTCTTAAGAAGTGAAATCTAACTTCGATGTAATTACTCCTTCCATGCATAATTGGATTCTTTGAAAGATTAAAGGTTGACTTGTTGTTGATCTTCAACACCAGAGATTTCTTCATTTCGACCTCGATCTCTTCCAGCACAGGTCTGATCCAAATTGCTTGACACACATCATAGGATCTTACTATATATACAACCTCACATGATGACAATGCCACCATAAGTTGCTTTCTCGAGCACCATGAGATTGGGGCACCAAAGAATTGAAATAAATTACCAATTGTGATTCTTCGATCTTCCTTATCTCTACACCAATCAGCATATGAATAGCAATTAATCACAACTTATTTGCTTTCAGAGTCTCGCCGAAATAAAATTCCATAATTTATCGATCTTTTTAAGTATCTCAGAATTCTTTTTGCATCCTTCATGTGTGACACATTTGGTTCACTCATGTATATGCTCACTAATTCGATTGTGAAACCTATATCAGGTCAATTGTTGCACACATATGCTCAGTAATTCCACTGTTTGTTTGAATAAAGTAGCATCAATCTTGTCCTCCTCTCCATGTTTCTTTAGTTTCAAGTTTGGTTCGACATGTGAGGATGCAGGATTTCGAATCATCTATTCTAAATCACTTGAGTATCTCTTTGAAATACTTCCTTTGATGTAGCACCATACCTTTCTTCAACATTTGAAATTCCATGCCTAGGAAGTAAGACAAGTTTCCAAGATCTGACATTTCAAATTCTCTCATCATCAACTCTTTGAACTTCGACAAGTTCTCCAAGCTATTTTCAGTTATCAGCAAGCCATCGATATATAAGAAGATGATTGTTATATCTTATGCCGCAACATGAACATAGACACGAAACTCATACTTGCATTTGAAAAATCCCAATTCGACTAAGTATGAGTCAATCTTATTGTTTCATGCCCTATGTGACTGATTGAGGCCGTAGAGCGTTTTGTAAAACTTATGTACCTTACTTGCTTCCTCATAAATCACAAACACATGACATTGTGTGATATATGCATCTTTATCTAAAGGACCATTCAAAAATATTGATTTCACATCTAAGTAAAATGTTGAACAACCTTGCTTGCATGCCAAGGCTACCACTAGTTGAAAAGACTCTAATCTTGCTACTAGAGCATATACTTTAGATTAGTCCAGTCATGCTCTCTGAAGAAATTCTTGAGCTACCAATCTCGCCTTATGTCTTTCTATCGACCCATCATCATTGTGCTTCAACTTGAACCCCATTTCACTTTGATAGCTTTTGTGTGTGTTGGAATTTTGATTAACTTATATGTTTTGTTTCTTTCAATTACATGTAACTCTTCGAATATATTTGACTTCCATTGTTTACTCTTTAAAGCCTCGCTATTGTTGATTGGTTCAGCACCTACAAGTAAAGCAAAATGAACTAATTTTCCATCTGGTGTGAATTCATCATCACCAGTTACTTTATAGTCTTGAAGTCTTGCTGGAGGAACTCTAGTTCTTTGAGATCTTTGGCTTGTGCTATCCATACTCTCTACGAATTTGACTATGTCAAGAATGTTAGAAATTGCTTCAACTTCAATTTCGAATGGAATATCAGCAATTGCTTCGTCTTCGACTTCATCAGTTTCTTCGTTGAAGCCTTAACTCATCAATGGCTTATTAACAGCATCACCAGAATTTCAATCCCATGTAGAATTTTCATTAATCACAATATCTCGAATCATCACGATCTTCTCATTAATTTGATTGAATAGCATGTATGCTCCAATTTTATGGTATCCTACCAGAATCATAGGTTCACTCTTGTCATCAAGATTCCTTCTTCTCGCATCAGGAACATGCTTATTACAAATAGAGCCAAACACCTTAAGATGACTCACTGATGGTTGTTTTCCACTCCACAATTCTTCAAGAATCTTGTTTCCAACTTTTAGGTAGGACACATGTTCAGAATATAAAAAGTAGTGGACTATGTTTCACCCCATAAGGATTTTGGCAGATTCTTCTTCTTCAGCATGCATCTCACCATATCCATTATGATCATGTTTCTTATTTCTGCTATTCCATTATGTTAAGCCGTGTAAGAAGCAGCTACCTCATGATCGACACCATTTTCTGCAAAGAATTCCTTAAACATCTTATATATGTATTCTCCACCTCTATCTGTTCGTAGAACCTTGATCTTTGAAATTCTGGCACTTTAAAACGTGTTAATAATAATGTCCCAACATCAGAACACAATGTCAAGACAAATGTTATAACATCATCCGACTAACAGAACAATAATATCAAATCGTAAAAGATGCATAAATAAATTGCAGAATGATAAATAACACAACTGATTGTTAACCCGGTTTGGTACAACGTCACCTACTCTGGGGGCTACCAAGCCAAGAAGGAAATTCACTATGACATCATCAGTTCAAATCCTAAACAATACTAGTTTACAAATTCTTTCCTAATCACTATCTTGTGCAACTTCTACCTAGAAACCTTCTAGATATGAGATTCCAATCTAATTTCCCACCCATCAACGCAGTGATAGATATAGTCACAAACTAATGACTAGAATAAAAAATAGAAGATTACACTTCTAATAAATAATACCCGGTTTTACTTAAAAGCTTTAAACTAAGAATAATGAACAATACTCAACTCTTTACTTAAAAGCTTCAAGAGTGAGAACAATAACTTGATAAAAAATTAAGTAATAATCAATCTACCTCACTGTATCAAAAGATAAATGGGTGACTTACAAAACACAAGAGACTCTCAAAACCTAATACTCTAAACTTCCCATAATTTTACAATTGTGAAAAGATTAATTACATTAGGTTTAGGTTTCTCATTAAATACACCTCAGTAGTTCATGGCTTTGAAATCTTCACCCAGATATTTCTTGATCCACAAGCCGAGGGCTGCACTAATTTTGCAGAAAAACCTCCTTAAATCTTAGAACAAAACATCAAGTAAATTGTCTCAACATCCAATTTTAGAAACTTATGTACAACTGAAGATCAAATCAAATGTTCTAGATTAAATCTTCTTGATATGCACAAATATATGAGATAAATCCAAAATGAATCCCACAAAATCAAATCAAATATGTCAAGAATTAAAACAATTTGTATCAATGTTCTGGTATAGCATGTTACAACATCTGTCAGAATATTTGTCTTCAATAGTAACAACACACTTTGTTGTACTAGTTTGGTCAAGATATTATGACATCTTTCTCATCATCTGTCATGAACCATGTTTTAATAAACTTGCTGTCAATCCTAAAACCACGGATCTAACAATCTCCCCCTTTAGCAAATTTTGGCTAAAACAATCTTAACACAATTTAACTGGAGAAAGGAATAAAACGACATTCATAAAACACAAGCTACATGCAAACATGTAAACTTTGTATAAAATAAAAACATAAAAATATATCAAAGATTACATACAGTTACAAGAATGTCTT